GTATGATATAGCCCAGCCCTACTTCTGGTCATTCACAGCCTGCAGGACCATCTAATCCTTAACTCTATGTTTTTCTTCCCCTCAATTACCTGTTAAGCCTCAGAATCCAGCTCAGGGGAAAACAAGAGTAAGACAGGGGACCGTTTTGTTTCATCTTTAAGTTTGATTGCTTCCCCGTAACCAATCCAACAGAGTTACAGCCGTCACAGCATATTATTGGCTACTGAGAGATAACAGACTCATTTTAGAGATCTACAAAGTCCAGCTTAGGTGAATGGATGGGTGGGATAATAAGTCACAGGATTGTCAGTCAGGAGACGGTCTTTCTTCTCCTGTTTGTGTTTTGCATTCAATTTGACTTTTTTCCCCCACTCACAGCCCGCAATCCATCACAGGTTACTGTAACGTTTAAAGTATAGAGAAAGTGATGATTTCTTGTTACCGATTTGCTGCATTACAAGAAATAATGACCAAAATCCACCAGCAACAATGAATATTGTGTGAGGACCCATTAGTTTGAGTAGAATCTGATCAATACTGTGGTAAAAATGGACAGTGAACACAAATTGGGCAACGACCCATTAAGAGACAAATTTGATTAAATTCTGACAATTCTTGTTGAACGAGCAGCGATTATTTCAGACTGTGAGTCAAAAATACTGAGGAACAATGTCTCTATATAGTTTTTTTTACCATATATACAGAGTCTATTCAGATTTATGTTGTGTTCATCCGCGAGGCGTGGGTGGTGGTTGGGTGTATGTAATGTCATCCACACAGAACAGTGGAACAGCAGCTCAAAATACACAGTGGGTGAAAGAGGGAAAAAGAACCAGCGAATTTATTTCCAATTCCTGCAAGAACACAAAATATAACTAGATCAGCTGTACTAACAGACTCACATATACTGTAATCATTAAGCCTACTGTAATCCTAATTTTGAGGCCCTGAGAATGAAGAAATTTTGCGTATTTTGGATGCAGGTTTCTCAGAGGCTGCAGTGACTCAAACCTCAGACATGCAGACTGGCCGTCTGTAGCACCAAATTTGGTTGTAGCTTGCTCTGAGTAATCAAATACCAGCATTTTGCACATCGAAACGGGCATGCAGCGGAAAGACTGCAGATAGCCTCTTGTTTATACCACTTTCCGTCCTGCAGCTCATTTCTCCCTGAAGCAGGATGCTTTAGAAGTCATGTGCAGCTGATAATGCTCCATCAGAGGCCCGCTGGGAGGAAGAAGATACCTTTTTAAATAAAAGATGTGACAGCAAAAAAGAAAAGAAAAAAAAAGTCGACAGCCAGCGAGTGGAGGAGAGTAAACCCGAATGACTCACGAAGCATGATAAGCTCCCAGTTCACATCTTCTCCATTTAAACTACTTATATCTTCAGCAGCCTATGAAATGCTGACACAC